AACATTAGGAAGCCTGAGCTCCAGCCTTGGCTGTGCAGGGGTGACTGTTCCATTCTGAATAGAGAAGAGGACCTTTCTGAATGTGAAAGTTCTCATCTAAGAGAGGGAACAATAATGAAAAACCTGCCTCATGATGTAGCTGTGAGAATTAATTTACATATTAACGTAAAATATTTTACAATTGAAAATTATAAAACTTTGTCAAAATCATCTATCAGAATGGCCTTCATCTCAGACCTCTCTTAACTTGGCTCTTTGAGCACCAATTAATATAAATGTTTTCATTGGGACTTTTTTTAAACAGCTTAACTGAAATAGAGTTCACATATCATGTAACTCACCACTTAGAATATACCAATCAATGATTTTTTTTTGTATTTTCACAGGATTGTACAGCCATTATTATCATCTCATTTTAGAACAATTTGTCCTTCACTAAAGGAAACCTCATGTCAATTAGCAGTCAATGCCCATTCCCACCTCGCCCCAATGCCCAGCCCTAAGCAGCTGCTCATCTATTTTCTGCTGTATAGATTTGCTTATTCTAGGCATTTTCTACAAATGGAATCCTATAATACATCTCCTTTTATGACTGGCTGCTTTTAATACGCATGATGTTTTCAAAGTTCATTCATATTGAATGTATTGGTACTTCATTTCTTTTATTGATAAATCATATATTTCATTGTACAGATACACCACATTTTGTTTATCCATTCATCAACTTGGGTTATTTTCACTCTTTGGCTGTTATAAATAATGCTATTTTGAACATTTGTGTAACAAATTTGGTGTGAACATATTTCGGTTCTTTGAAGTGTATATTCAAGGGAGGAATTGCTGAGTCCAATGGTCATTCTATTCTTAACTTATTGAGGAAACACCAAAGTGTCTTCCACAGTGGCTGCATTATTCTATATTCCCACGAGAAATGTGTGAAGGCTCCCATTTCTCTACACACTCACCAACACTTGTTATTGTCTGTCTTTTTTATTAAGATACTAGTGGGTGTGACGTGGTATCTCATTGTGATTTTGCTTTGCATTTCCCTAATAGCTGATGGGGTTGACTATCTTTTATATATAACTTAAATTTTCTATTAGGTAACATTTCACAATTATTTTTTAATATCAGCTACCCGTGATTGCACAGATGAGAAAATCTCTGTTCAATAATGCCCTAAAACTGAATGAAAAATGTTGTAATAGAAGGTGCACATGTTGCTGGGGTGGCCTCCTGAGCCACAGGGCACTCATCTCAGACTGTACCCCTACCTAAGGATTCTGCCTCCACGTTGCCCCCAGAGCCATCTGCAGACTCAGGCCTGGTCTCTACCCTCAGAATTCAAAAGCAAGTTGGAATCCTCTGATCTTTCAGAATTACTTGCTTTTCATTCTGCAAGTGCTTTTGAAATGCTTAAAAGGTTGCTCTTGTTGACAACCATCACTTTCTTCATGGATGAAGGTCAAAGAAATGTGCACCCCCGCCAGGAAATATCCTTAGAGTGGACTTTCAGGCTGGATTTGAGGCCTCTGAAGTCTGAGAGGGAAGGCCAGACCCTCCCGCTATTGATCTCGATCAGAAATTGGGTGGTTCTAGATACAATGTGGTGAGTGGCCACAGTCTGAGCACTGGGAACAAAGAGGGCTCAGGATCAACTTACCCTGGTCTTACAGGAAGCTTCTTGAAGTGTATACAGACTGAGGATGGAAATTGGTTCACCCCCGGAGAATTTGAAACCAAAGGAGGCTACGCAAGATCAAAGAACTGGAAGCTGAGTGTGCGCTGTGGCGGGCGGCCCCTACAAAGGCTGATAGAGGTATTCCAATGACAAGGCGCCAGACCTGTACCCCTTCCTGTTGTTCCCCAATAATGAAGAGACTGTTTGTTCACCAAATATTTGTTAGGTTATAGCTAAATCCTTGATGCCAATGAGTTTATCCTCTCACTCAGGAGAAAGGGACCCCATATCCATAACCACACTACAGTGCAACACATTGATGTTGTACAGGGGCTCCATCAGGATAGATGCAGCAGCTTGGAGGAGGAAAGGGTCATTCTGACTAGGGTGGATGCAGACAATTTTGTGCACTGAGAAAAAGAAGAGAGTTGATAGTCAGGCAGGGCAAGAAGATACTTCAGAGAAAGAATGACCTGAAAACCAGAATGGCATTAAAACAAGAACCACAGTAAAACTATTAACAGGTCTGTGGATTTAGGTAGATAGATTGCATACAATAAGGCACAATTCAGCAACTGAGGTTGTCTGTGGAGCGCTTTAATGCCAGGCTAAGTAATTCAAATCTGTAATTGAGATAACAAGGAATCGGCGAAATCTTCTGAGATTGGAAATGACATTTAACACAGTATTTTAGACAGCAATGGGGTTTTGAAATGTCTTCACTGTTTCCCCTGCTAGCAAACCTATACTCAGTCTGGAATGCTTAGCTCAAATGTTACCCTCTTCCTTAAATATTCACTGACCTAGCCATGGGTCCTCCCTTCCCAGGGTTCCTGAGCCCCCTACTAATGCCCTTTTTTCACTGTTTATATTTATCCTTCTGTGAGTGCTTTTTGTCTGTAGATCTCTTTAGGTTTTCCCATCTCCATGTACCCAAGATTGATCAGAGTGACTGACACCCAGTAGCATGCAATAAGTGGGTGCTGCTTGGATAGCTCTGGTGTAGGGACTCCAGCTGGGAGTGGCCCTGGTGGAACTGGAAAAGAGGTGATAGATGGTATGAGATTATGAACGAAAACCTCTTAGGACTTAGGAAAGAAGCACAAGAGAAGGGAAAATGATCCTGAAAATGATTTTCTGTTGATTGGAGTCTAGAAGCACAGGTGAAGAGAGGGAGATGGTTTCTCATTAGACACTTTGGGTTTGAGCTGGCAGTGGAACACTCAGGTAGAAGCATTTAGGAAGAGGTTGGAAATGCCAGACTCACAAAACAGAAACACAGGCTGACTATGAATCTTGGTCTTTTTATGTTTCAGGAAGGATCTCTACCTAATCCTCCAAAAATACATTACAGGAACCAGAAGGTGATTATTACATAATTTTCTACAGATTCTTGTCACATAACTGATTTAACATGTACGACATCTTATTTTATGAAGTCTCCAATTGGGTAATTATAATTAAGCTTTCACCTTCTCCACTACCCACGTTTAAATTTTTTTATGTATGCCTTCAGAGTTGCTACTTTCAATACTATGTGTATATAAAGCTAGGTCCTCTTTGGATTAAACTGTATCAGATGGAGATGCTGAGGAGCCATCAAAACAAACCTCCTGAATGTGTTTTAGCAACAGATGCAGATGTTCTAAGAGTGTCAAAGTTGGAAAATCCAACACGGTCATGGAATACATAAAAATATTTCATAATAAGATGAGAATATCATCTCCAACTCAAAATCAGATTTTTTCCATTGATGTTATTGTTTTCTAACTTTTGTGAAATTGATAGAGCCAGCGTTTCCTCCCAGTCACTTGAGACGTGTATAAAACCATATATTATTTCATGAAATAGGTAATAAAAAGAATATTTCTTTTCCGATCTTTCACATCCTCTTTCACCTTCCAAAAAAAAATGTACACACAGATACACAGAATTCTTTCTCAACGGGAAATTATTTCCCTTCGTCAAGATGGTGCCATTGGGGAGGAAGATCTCCAGAGGCGAATGTATTTTATAGGAGGGGCTGACCAGGAAAACCTTTTATGTTGATGCCACCTCTTTGGCTCTACCAGAAAGACTGTGCAGACCTGCTTTTTATCTGTGAAAGTGATTTTCCCTTCACTTAAAGAACGTGACAAATAAATAGGTTTAGTGCAGTGTAGATTCAGGACAAGGTGATGGTTTTTCCAAGACTGAGTATGAATGAGAACCTGAGGAGAGGGAAGAGAAAAATGTCATCCTTGTGCACTTCAGGTAGAAATGTGCATTCAAGACATTGACAGACTTCTAAAACAGCTCACACATAGCTAGCCACTGGGCTTCATATTCCATTGGGAACCTGAGATCCAGGCCTTTACCTTATCTGATATACTGGCTGATTTGAATTCTCAGCCACTGAGATATTTCATCCACTGGGTTTCCTGAAGGGAAACTATTACGTCACCTTTTCAGTGACTACACTAAAGACCAGCCTCTCTACCTTTCCCCAGGTGCCGAGAGTAACTCAGTCTGGATGACCCAAATGAACTGGACATTTCCAACTAACCGACTCTCCCCCTCTTCTGAGGTGCAACACTTAGCAGCAACAAGCTGCAGTTGCCTCTATGTGTTGTGTCTCCTCATGGGGAGAACAGAGGTCCCCTAAGTGGCAGATCCAGGATCCTTTACAAACTCCATGGGTCCTCTGTGCCTCTCAGAGCTTCTCTTGCTGGCAAAGCCATTTGGCTTCTGGAAACTTCAGTGTCACTATCAGTGCCACATGATAGTGTCTCTGCTCAGGCTCATGACAAGGGCCACATAAACCTTTTGGTGGCAGCTGAGGTGTAAAACAATCTGATATACTCACCCAGAATAATTGTTGTATGCTAATGCTTGCTTAAGAGACTCTAGTATTTTTTTTTTTTTTTTTTTTTTGAGACAGAGTTTCACTCTTGTCATTCAGGCTGGAGTGCAGTGGTGCGATCTCAGCTCACTGCACCCTCCGCCTCCGGGGTTCAAGCGATTCTCCTGCCTCAGCCTCCCAAGTAGCTGGGATTACAGGTGCCCACCACCACACCTGGCTAATTATTTGTATTTTTAGTGGAGACGGGGTTTTGCCATGTTGGGCTGATCTTGAACTCTTGAAACAATATTCATTTATTCACCCATTCAACATATACTTATCAAGCACATACTAAATTCCAAAGGCCATTACAAAAGATTGACCTGAAAAATCATTTCAGGCCAGGCATAGTGACTCAAGCCTATAATGCCAGCAATTCGAAAGGCTGAGATGGGAGGATGACTTGAGCTCAGGAATTTAAGACCAATCTGGACATATCATGAGATACCACTTCTACCAAAAAAAAAAAAAAAAAATACCCAGGCATTGTGGTGCACACCTGTAGTCCTGCAGTAGCTACTTGGGAGGCTGATATGGGAGGATCACTTGAGCCTGGGAGGTCCAGGCTGTAGTAAGCTGTGATTTCATCGTGGCACTCCAGCCTGGGTGACAGAGTGAAACTCTGTCTCAAAAAAAAGAAAAAAAGGAAAAGATTGTTTCAATTTTATTGTAAACATGGATGAATTACAAATGGGTGGGGTAGGAGATTCTAGGCTAGTCAGAGAGGCAGTCAGTGACAAGGTCACTTCTCAGGTGCTTGTGCTTTGGATCACACTTGTTTATAGCCTCTGTACCCTGGGCTAGAGACAAAAGCTGAGGCTGCCTGTATCCCAGAAGGAAAAGGTGCCAACTCCTGCAATGGATATCCAAAAACAATCTAAATAAATCTAGTGGGTTACCTCTTAAAAGACAGTCAGTCAACCTGACATCTTCTTGTGCTTTGGCTAGAAGGGAGAGTGGGAGATGCTCAGGAAGAAGAGCTGCAGCACAGAGGACCTTGGAGGCATTTTATCACCAGGGCTTTGTCCCTAGGGGAGCTGCAGAAAGCAGTGTTATTCTTCTCTGGGATACTTGCATGGCCTCCAGGACCCTGGGCCCTGGGGTACTTGGAGGATGTGGGGGATAAGTTCTCAGCCTGACTATTATTGCAGCTCTTCTGGGTGGGATGACACAAAGGCCAAGTTTAGGAAATATGCCTGAGGGCCCCTTGGAGTAAAAGGACAAGTAGAGCTTCTCTGACTTGGCCTGTGCGAACTAGGTCCAGACTCCCTGCAGGGAATGGGATTTGCATTGGGCTGAACAGTAGTACTTGGGGACTTTTTCTTCCCTCAGTAGATATATAGGTCCAAAAAATCAGATATGAGGTAAAGGGAAGACTGTTTAAAAAGTAAAATTTTAGACAAAATAAATTTAATAGCATTTATTGGAGCAAAGAGCAATTCATGAATTGGGCAGCGCTCAGAACAAGAAGAGGTTCAGAGAGCTCTGCTGCAGCAGCCCAGACAGTGAGGCCAACACAGGAATAAGTCAGAGAAACTATATTTAATGGGTTATCACAGAAAGATGCTAATTAGAGGTAGATGGCAGATTCTAGTCGGTAAAGTCTCTAGTGTCATTTTACTGTTCACATCAGGTTTCAGTTTATTTACATAGGAAATTAAAGCACTGGAGTCACCCCAGCCTACTGGCCTTCTCATCCCAACTATTTTTTTACAACTGGTTCCTGAATCCCTTCAAAGATGACTACTTAAATTTAAGTAAGTGATAGATGGAAACAATGCATTCAGTATCGTAAATCAATCTTTCTGTTTTTTCAACAGAGAATACTGAAGTCTCACAACAATAGCTCAGTGGACCCTTGTGTAAGTACAAATTCTGAGCTATGACCCCCAGAGTATTCCACTCCTTTCTCCAGGGATATGTTCTGTGCCATGACTGCTACTCCCTGAAGCATGTTCAGTCTCAGTTGGAGTATGTTGCTGTGTGTGATGAGCAAAGAATACCAGTTGCATCACCCAAGCCAGGTAGATGTGCCTGGCTCTTGGGTGTCTCAGTGTGAAAGCACCCTTCCCATGTGTTTCAGTAGAAACCTTCCAATGTTCTTATTTCCTTATTCTCTTGGATAGTGAGTAGGGGAGGCTGAGCTCTAGACCACTGAGGTCTCTTGAGACAGAGCTTGAAGTGGTAATGGGTAGGGCTGGCCTGGTGACTAAGGGGAAGGAGTAAATGTGAGAGGATAACAGCATTCTCAAGTAGGAGGTATGGATGAAAGGGAAAGTCCCAAAAGTGCACTCCAAGGTGCAGGTAGAGCTGAAGATCGTCTTAAGCATCAGGCCGAAGGAACAGAGCATGCCAAGCTCTTATGTTTAAGGTGTGGAGTCTGTCATTAGTCCTGTGAAGGAGTACATACAGGACAAGAGGTCCTTTACAGAGCCCCTATGACCAGTCTCAGGGAAGCCATTAGGCTGATGAGCTGGTTAGGACTGAAACCATCATGACCTAGTAAATCCTGAGGCATTTTAACTCAACTGCTTATCTGGTGCTCAGTACTATGCAAACTTTCTGATCCCATGGGCCCCATCCATTCTCTACTTGCTATATGGCTGCCTGCTTTGGGTTCTACCGAAATCATGGATGAGTTCTTTCTCTAAATGAAATTCTGGTTTGCTCCTTTTCATTGCAGTGAGATGTCAATTTTAGGTAAGGTCACTTTCTCGCAGAACTCCAGGAGGCAGCACTCACATAGAATATCATGCAATAATACTGACACATAATACTTAACTGAGGAGGGATGCTCAAATAGTTTTATACACACCTTACCTCCAAAGCAATCCTCCAACAAGATTTAGTTCTTATCCACACTGATTTTGACGCCCAGCCAACTCAGGGACTCATGAACAGTTAAAACGGTCCTGGAGGTCAGTGCTTGTGTGGCTGATTTTGTATAAGCTTGACATGGAGGTTTATGTCTCACAGCCCACAGCCAGATGTTTGTGGGAAAAAGAGGAAAACAGTTCCAGCAAAGGTATGGTCACCACTATTAATAATTTTTCCAAGGCCAATAACAACATTGACTTATAATATACCCATGCCTCCATAACCAGACTTTGCTCAGGTTGAATCTCAAATTATCCTGCATCCTGGAGTCACCTGAAGCACTTTAAAAAATATTGTTGCCTGGATCCCACTTCTAGGGAAATTCTAAATTAATCAATCTGGACTATGTATGACTTGAACATTAGAATTTTTTTAAGGTCCCCAGATGATGCTGATACATAGAATTACCTATTCTGTCACCTTAAGAAGAATACCAGTGCCTGCACCTCAGCCCTGACCCAGTGATTCAGAATCCCTGGTGCTGGGTTCAGGACATTAGCATTTTATGTACTCCTGAGATGAGTCTAATGTCCAGCCAGACCAACAACCAAAGAACCAGAGAAATCAAATCTCTTCTTGAAAAGATATAGATTTGGAGGAAAAAAATGGCAGATCGGAGGCAGGACCAACTTCCACCTCCGACTCAGACAGACAGAACAGCATGATGAGACTCACATCGTGAACTTTTGCTACAAGAGCCAGCACAGGAACATTCCAGCAAAATAAGGAATTCACAGACCCTTTGAAAGAAGTGGCTTGCCACTGCAAACTCTGTGAGACAGCCAAAACACAGTTCTCAACGTCTGAGAGGGAAAAAGTCCACCTCTGAACATATATCCTCACTGGGGAACCTGAAAATCCAGATCACGGGAGAAGGATTTCACCTAACCTAGAGCTGAAATGAATTTAGAGAGCTGGGCAAAATATAAAAGTAGAAGTAGCAGCAGACAGAGCCCTGTAGGCACTCCACACAGGGCCACATGGGGGCTGCGCTCAGGAACAGAGGAAACAGCCAGTGGCTGTGGAGGGTGGGCTGTCCTCTGCTTCCAGAGGGAGAGTGTGATTGGCTGGTTTGAATAATTCCATGGCTGGCAGGGAAACGAAATCAGCTAATCAAAAATAAGCAGAAGGTGCAAGCAGTCCTCTTGATCAGAAGTGTTGGTAGGAAACCTTATCTGCAGGAGCAGAGCCAGGGGAGAACTTGTAAATAGACCATTCTAGGCCCTCCCAGTGTTACCAGACGTCCAGGCTGCACATAATATTGAACTCTAATTTTAGTCCTTACAGCACTTTTCCCTTGAACTACAAAGGGCTCAGTCACAGACCGGTTCTTTGTCATGAATACACATGCATTTGTCTACAATACAGCCTCTACGTATTGGTCTCTATATTTGTTCTATAAATTCTGTTGGTTTTTAATGACTGGGATTTGCTCCACAACACGTGGATGCAAATACTATCATATTTTAACTTCACTAAATCAAATTAAATCTAGCTAAAGGTCTCATATATTGAGACTGGTGAGAAATGGAGAATTAGTTGATTTCCCATTCTTTTTATAGAACAAAGCACCAGCTCTTTTATGGGCCCAGGAAATGAGGAGAGGGCCTCCATCTTCAACACTGTATGATGCTGTTACCATGGTCCTTGGTCATTAGAGATGACATCTTTGCACCTTACAATCCAAATTAGCCAAGTCATGGGAGATCTTCTGTCAGGCTCCCCAGAGCCAAAGAGCTCTATGTGCCCCCTGTGACCCACCTGGTCATCTGTACTCATGGTCCTTCCCCCTCAGAGGTCGGTGTAGAGCCCTCCAGGCACAAAACCCACAGACTAGAAACCCCTAACTAGGCCCTCTCTTCAACTCATGGGAAACTTATGGCCAAGAATATGGCATGTGATGATATCTCAGAAGCTTATTCCGTTATATGTAATTCTCTGGGTCTCCATTTCATGAGTTGATTTGTAGTATAAGCAAATGTATTTAACACGTTACTTCAAAACCTGGTTTTATCTGCAGCATAATACAATTATTCAGATTCCTATAAGATCATCCTCTTGCTTCGTTGCTCGTCTTTCTGCGTTATAATCTCTGGTTTTATAAGGAAAACATTTTTATTCTGACACATACCCCTGCCTCCTGAACTTCACTGCAGACCAGGATTTGTTCTGAAATCTCCATGCCATGCTTTTCCTTCATATCCCAGGGAGAAGCATACGCCTGTCCACACAGACTCACACAAGGCAGTGTGTTCTAGATGCCCAGAGGGGTGGCCTTCCTGAATCTTGCAGTTCCCAGTGACATGGAAACTCTTTTACCTTCTAGATGAGAAACTTGGATGAGTGTGAGGTGTGCCGGGACGGAGGGGAGCTGTTCTGTTGTGACACTTGTTCAAGAGTCTTCCATGAAGACTGTCACATCGCGCCTGTGGAAACTGAGAGGTGAGTGACATGCAGGCGCCTCTCCTTCCTCCTTTAAGGGACCTTCTGCCTGCCATGCGCGCTCTCCAGCAGAGCGCCCACTTGTGTCTAGATGGGGAAGGAGCAGGTTCGTCGGGTACTGGGACCCAGCAGTGTGTTCAGAGAGCAGCGGGAGACGCTGGCAGCAGGAGGTTCATGTTCTCTGTGCTCTCAAGGACCCGCCTCTGATATGCTGAGGCCAGTGCTGGGGACCTTTTGCCTACATACTGGTATTGTCCTTTCCTTCAATTTGGCAGGAGAGTCTCCTGTCCCAAGGGATTGAAGAAAAGAAACACCGGTTGTTTGTATTTTGTGCTTATTCATACAAGACAGGAAGCACGGTCTTGGGCTGATGGAGGCCCGAGGTCCCTGGAGCTGAAAGCCCAGTTTCTGAAACTCAGGCCTGACAGGCAGGGCTGCTTGTGCTCCCAGCAGCTCAGACAGGGAAAGGATAGTCCACATTCACGGTGACACCACCTTCCTCGGGCTTCCTGCCTGCTGCTACCGCTGATGCGAGGGAAAGGCCAATGGCTGGAGATCCCATGTGCAGTTCTAGGACACTCTGGGAGGTGTTCCCCTCCCTCCCATGACTGAGCCCATCAGCCATTCCTGAAGGAAGACAGTGGCAGCCACAGGAATAGTGGCCGTTTCCAGGGTCCCTGCCCTCTGCTCACCCATGTCCAATCTCTTAGGACCCCGTGGAGTTGCATCTTCTGCAGGATGAAGGAGTCTTCAGGAAGCCAACAGTGTTGTCAGGAATCTGAGGTCCTGGAGAGGCAGATGTGTCCGCAGGAACAGTTGGTAAGTCAGATGCAAACCCCAAGCCTTCTCCTTTCCCCTCACACGTGAGCACCATGAACAAGCGCAGGGTCAGGGGAATTCACAAAAGGAGCCTGCTCTTCCGAGCCACACTTCAATCGCACTGATAGAACACCCCAATTTGTTTGCACAAAAAATAACTCAGCCATGACATGTCTGTTTCCAAGAGCCACGCATGTTAGAGAAACTTGTGGAAGAAGGGTGTGAGTCGTGTGCTCCATCTCATGCATGTGGGCTCATTCTCTTCAAGCTGCTTTTCATTTACGGCCTCTTTCTTTTGCAGAAATGTGAGTTCCTCCTCTTGAAAGTCTATTGCTGTTCTGAGAGCTCCTTTTTTGCCAAGATTCCATACTATTATTATGTAAGTAAAAACAGCAACCCATGATTACAGGCTGTCATGACATTACCTGACCCTGAAATGGGCCCTCATGAGATTTGTGATCTTAACCCCACGGGGCAAGAGCACACGCTGTCATTACAACCTTCACCTTGTTGTATTTCTACTGGATTTTATGGGAATCCACAGAAGGCAGACATTGAACTATGCTGGTAGCTTTTCCATTGGTATTTTTGTCACCAGATTAGAGAGGCGTGTCAAGGCCTGAAGGAGCCCATGTGGTTGGATAAAATCAAGAAAAGGCTGAATGAGCACAGTTACCCCCAAGTGGAGGGGTTTATACGAGACATGCGCCTCATCTTCCAGAACCACAGGGCCTCTTACAAGGTAGGTGGCTCTTCCTGTTTCCATTTCATTTCTTTCCATCCTTCCCCTCATTTTCTGGTGCCTAGAAAAATTTAGTTTCCCTCATCCTGTAATAAACTTGCACAAACAAGGGTTCTGGAAGTGATTGATTGTTTTCAGTTCAGAACTTAAGCTCTTCTTAGCAAAGAAACAGTGAGTCAAAAGGTGTCCCTGCAACCAGAACCCCAGGTCCCTGAGAGCTCCTCCCCCACCTGCCCCAGAGGAGACAGGAGCTCAGAGAGAGCAATTGAGTCCTGCCTGCTGCAGCATATAAAGAGAAGAGAATTTCATCTTAAAGTGATATTGTGCTTCTTATCTGCCCCCAATCCCAGAAATCCCAAACTCCAGATTCCTTTGCATGTGAAGAGACCGTATGGTTAACACGGATTACCAGCAAGGAGTAGAAGTGACCGAGAAAGGAACAGATCAGTGATCTTACCTTATACCCTTCCACTATCTGAATTGTTGAAAGAGCATAGATTACTTTTCTAACCCACTGAAATAAGCAACCAAAGCCAAAGAAGTAATAATCCCAACTGTGGAAATGATTTCACTTTTCTGTCCTGTTAATAAGAAAGCATCATGCTGGTAAGAAACAGAAGTTAGTGTTAGCTGCATTAGTTTTCAAGTTTAACCTGGTTAATGTAACTTAGGGTGTTTAAGATAAGAGTTCTACTTAATAATAGTATATTTCACACTTCAACATTGTTCCGAGAGTAAATATCAAATGTTCTCACCACAAAAGATGATAGCTCTTTGAGGTGATGGGTATTTTAATTAGTTTGACTTAATTATTCCACATAGCAGTCATAAATCACAACATTACCTTGTACTCCAAAATACATACCATTATAAATTGTCAACTTACAGTTTTTATTTTTTAAAGACAAGAGTCCTGATCATTCTCAGTTGAAAAGTGTCTAATGACACTAATGATAAGGAACATCGTTTTTGTCTTTATTATTTTTTTCCAGTATAACGATTTTGGCCAAATGGGACTTAGACTGGAGGCTGAATTTGAGAAGGATTTCAAGGAAGTGTTTGCTATTCAGGAAACAAATGGGAACAGTTGACTGGTTGAGTGGATGCTGAAGGCCGTCAGGAAATGGTACCCCAAAATATGCCACTGCCTTGCCACTGACTTCAAACTGAGAGCACTTGGGAAATAGCACAAGCAGGGAGGGGCTTTTCTCTGAGCCTCCCTCATCTGCCGAAAGTCAAATCCTCAAAAGAAATTCAATCATCATGAATCACATCCCCAAGAATCTCACCAACCAGGGAAGAGTAACTGAGATCACAGGGAAGGAGATTGGAGGTGACACCAGCACAGACAGATTCTCACCTCTTCTCCTGAGGTCGGCTTGAGATAACATTTATTACTCACAAGACCTTTCTCCTCTGTTTTTTTTTGAGACGGAGTCTCACATTGTCACCCGGGATCGGAGTGCAATGGCGCGATCTCGGCTCACTGCAACCTCTGCCTCCCAGGTTCAAGCGATTCTCCTGCCTCAGCCTCCCAAGTAGCTGGGATTACAGGTGCCTGCCACCATACCCAGCTAATTGTTTGTATTTTTAATGGAGACAGGGTTTCACTATGTTGACTAGGCAGGTCTCAAATTCCTGACCTCATGATCCACCTGCCTCGGCCTCCCAAAGTGCTGGGATGTGACAAGAGTGAGCCACCGCGCCCGGCCACTTGCAAGACCTTTTATCTGAAAACCAGCCAAGCTTTATTCACGACACACTTCTTCCCTTTCCTCTCCCACTTCTGTGGCCAACTCCCTGCAGAACGCCCAAACCCCCGTTCTTTTCGATAAAGATAGCTCATGATGGTGTATGAATGTCAATCATCTGACCCTTCTTGAAGTGTTAAATTTCGTGGGACTCCTGTGCAAACATGTATTATTAAAAATTTTTTCCTCCTGTTAATCTACTTATGTCAATTTAATTCACTTGTAGCTCAGCCAAAGAACCTAGCAGGTTAGAGGGAAGCCATTTTTCACTCCCCTGGAAAGCTGTTGGCATCCTGGCACCATCTCCTCTTCTGGCCAGGTCTTTTCATCCCAGCTGCTGAGTGGTGGCTGCTAATGTCAGCAGTCCCCAGAGTATTACCCTTGATTGAATGGAATCAGCTTTACCTGGAAGTGACACCCTGTGGCCTGAGGTCGGCCCCCTTGCCTCAAAGCAGGACCAAGGATGTGGTGTGCAGCTACTCTGTGCTCCCAGGAATCAGGCTGGAGATAGTCTCCAGCTGTTGCCACATCCTGGCTCAGCTTTTGCCCACATGATGAGCTTCCCCTACTCCCTTCTGAGCGAACACTCACCATCAATCTCTTGCTTAAGGGACTTCATCCCAGAATGTGCTTCTGGGGAATGCAACCTAAGGTAATGGCCCCAGGAAGCAAGCTCTGAGGACAGGATTCTGGAGTTGGATCACTGTCTAGCCCAATGGTGCTGGGTGGAATATGGATAGTCCCAGAAGTGCTATCACTGAGCAGTTGCCCAAATTTTCACCTGTAGTAAATTGAATGAGCTACAGGTCAAGCTATGTACTAAAGTAGCTGGTACAATTGTCTGGCATTTAAGAAGTGAGGAAAAGTAACTATAAGAAGTATGGGTTATTACTAAGTGCCGTTAATGTCTTGAAAAGAGTAAATGACAGGCTTAGATCTATTCATCACAAGCCTAAAGAGAAGAGATCCTCATACCTGCAGCTGGAAGGCACACAGCAAGGAAGGTCTGGTACAGGCCCTGATTTTACAAATCGCAGAACTTCAGAGAAGACTGAATTCTAAGCTCCGGGTGGTCTCTTATGCCAAAGTCAAGGCCTTAAAACTCAGTATGGGGCTATCTAGGTAGATGTACATGAGAACTTTGAACTCCAGATGCCCCCTGAACCTACTGGGTTTGCAGAAAAGTCTTTCTGCCCCTTGTTGGAAGAGAGAGCTACCACCCCCACCCAACTCCTGATTTTTCTAGAATGAAGACTATATAGCGACCGCTCAGGACAATGCAAGTCCACAGTCATGGGCAGGGTGACAAAGTGAAGAGAGCGTTCATCCTCCGAAGGAGCTGTAGGACTGGCCAGCTGCATCAGCAGGAGCGAGGAGATTGTGTCTGGGAGTGGATCCTGGTCCAGGAAGGGCGAAATGTGAAACCAGATAAGTGAGAATTATTGACAAAAGGGCAAGCTTCTCTACCACAGAGTTTAACTAGCCTGGCATGGGCCAAAGGTAACAATTCTGATATACTCCTGGGTGGCTCCCAGAGACTTAGTATAAGCCATGCTACACATTAAATCAAGTGGAAGCAGAGATACCAGGACTACTGTGGCAGAGTCTGGGAAAAAGGGGTCCCAAGGATATAGAAGTTGGGCGCTAGAATGACTCTGTGCTCTACAACTGGAGAATCCATCCATCAGGCGACTGAGTTCCTCCAAAGGGCGACACTACTAAGGTGTCTCAGCCACTAACTAAGGTGAGAAGGAATGCACTGCTGAGGAGGCAGCACATCCTTGACAAGCTCAATGGTGGCTGTCCCCTGCAGGCTGGAATAATGCTAGGGATGTTTTATAGAACTGGATCCCCCAGTAGTGAGCAAAATGATAGAATTCCAGAATAACAGAGGCCAAGTGGCAGCATTTAACTGTGAGGACAAGATAAAGTAATTTCCCTAAGGGTCATCAACGTTAGAGTGACAGCTGAGAGGCCTGGCCTGTAGGTATCTATGAAGACAGACATGCATGGATATGCTCTTCCTACAGGCAAGACAGATGGGCAGCTGACAAGGATATTGCTTTAGATATATAATAAAAAAAAAAGTGAAAATCGATGAGCAGAATGCCGAGGTCAGCTCTCTAAAGGTAAAGTCTAGACCCCTTGCCCAGCTTCCGAACCTCAGCCAGTTCTCAATGGAATCCAGAACCCACTGTTGGAAATGAGGGCAGTTTCTCATAAGGAAGAACCTTGTTAATGTGCACAGCACTGATTTCCTCGAGTTTTCATGGGAGGGCTCTATGGTCATTTGTTCGAGTAACTCACATGCTGGGGAAAGGAAAATACACAGATCTTTCAAGGGATGTTGAGTACAATGTCAGAGTTGATGCTAATCCCTGGGGACCCAAAGCCCTATCGTAGCCCCTGTTAGAGTACATGGAGGTGAGGTAATGTCCATCTCACAGTGAGCCCTCTGGATCCACAGAGCCACCCAGCAATCATTTCCCCAGTTCATGAATGTATAATCAGGATATACATTCATACATCCATCATAAAATATAGCAATTTCCTGTCCTGGTTCCTTAACCTCTGGTTTCCTAAACTACAAAATAACAATGGCTGTCTTAGGGAAGGCCAAGCAAAAGCCTCTGAAACTGAAGTTTCATGGTGAAAAAAAGTAAGTCAAAAGCAATTATCACATTCTTGGGGAATGATAGAGATTAGTGCCACTTACAAAGACGTGAAGGAGTCAGGGGTTGTTATCCCAGTTACACCTCCATTTTAATTCAGCAGTCTGCCCTCTGGCATCTCCTGATGGTTCATGCTGCTAAATGACTACTAAAACTTAACTTAACCAAGAAGTAGCCCCAATTACAGTTGCGGTGGCAAATGTGATATCTTTATTATAACAGGTTAGCACAGACTTAGTAAGTGATATGCAACTATTAATATGGAAATGACACTTTTAAAGGATCCAGCAGGATGTAGGTTGAGAAGCAATTCACAATCTCAAGGATTGGACAACAGTATATCTTTACAGTCTTGCTCCAAGGCAAGGTGAATCCTGCTCTGTGTTACAATATAGCCTTTCTGGACACTCTGCAATACATTACATTGGCCTACTATATTGATGACAGTATGTTCATGGGCCTGATAAGCAAGAAATGTTGACTATTCTCAATGACTTAGTAAGTCACAAACACTACAGGTGGTGGGAGAGAAACGCTGCAAAGATTCAGAGATATGCCATATAGGTAAGATTTCAGGGGTTCAATGGTCTGGAGCATGTCAGTGTATCCCCTCCAAAGCTCCATGCTATTGTAGCTCATATTTCCAGCACTAAGAAACCCAGAGCTTGGTGGGCCTCCCCAGGTTAGGAGAATCACCATGGTTGACATTCTGATGAATATGATTCTAGGCTTTGTAATGTGTGTGTGTTTCGGAGTCAGGGAGTAGGGAGGCAGTGGGTATACCATCTTAATAAGTAAAAAATGCTTATCAATTTTTTTCACTTAATAATATACAATGGACATTGTCACATCAGTAGATACAGCTCTACATCATCCCTGCCCTACCTTTCATTTATCCTGAAAACTGATCGACAGTTAGCTCTTCAGTTATTTTTGGTCGGTAAGCATAGTGATTTGTACTGCGAGGCAGCACAGGCTGGCACTCAGGAGCACAGCCCCTGTAAGTGGAAGCCCAGTTCCTGCACTTCTCCACTTGCTGACAGTGTGTCCTTGGGCAAGCTACTCATCCTCCCCTGTACTGTTTCATCTGTAAAATGGAGATACTAGTAGTAAATTGCTCACTGGATTATTGTGAGGATTAATGAATTAATATTTATTATGCACTTAGAAAGTGGCCCTCCATGCAATACATATGTAATAAACAAGCAAACTTAAAAGATTAACATAAACACCCTTGTATCAATTCAAGCTCTTTGCTATCAAGAGAAACCCAATATATACCCAAAAGAATAGAAATCATCCTATGATAAAGATACATGCACGTGTATATTCATTGCAGCACTATTCACAATAGCAAAAACATTCAGTCAACCCAAATGCCCAGCAATAATAATAATAATAGAAGAAAATGTGGTACATATACACCATGGAATACTATACAGTCATATAAAGAAACTAGATCATGTCCTTTGCAGGGGCATGGATGGAGCTCAAAGCCATTATCCTTAGCAAACTAATGCAGGAACAGAAAACCAAGCACCACAGGTTCTCACTTATAAGTGGGAGCTGAACAATGAGAACACATGTTCAGAACACATGGACACAGGGAGGGGAACAACACACTGGGGCCTGTTGTTGGGGACAGGGGAAGGGAGAGCATCAGGATAAATAGCTAATGCATGCAGGGCTTAATACCTTGGTGATGGGTTGATAGGTGGAGCAAACCACCATGGCACACATTTACCTATGGAACAAAACTGCATGTCCTGCACATGTATCCCAGAGCTTGAAATTAAATTAAATTTAGAAAAAAAAAAAAAAGGAATCCATTGTGAAAGAATCCAATCACAAAAGACCACATAATTTATTATTCCATTTATGTGAAATGTTTAGAATAGGTAAATCCATAGAGACAGAAGGTAGATTAATTGGTGGTTGCCTAATGCTGGGAGGTTGAGGGGAAATGGGTATGTGGTTTCTTTTTACAGTGACAAAAATGTTCTGAAATTGATCGTGGTGATGGTTAAAAAGCCCTGTGAACATGCTATATGACTTTGAATTGTACTATTTAAATGGGTAAATCATATGGTATGTTAATTGTATCTCAATAAAGCTGTTAAAAAAATTAAAA